TCAATAATTTGTGATATCGCCTCGAGATCTTCTGTCGACGTGAAATGGTGAACCATGGACATAAACCGTTTGAGAGATTCATCGGAAGGCAATTGTTTTGCTGCAGGCTGAGAAGGATCGATTCCTGTTGAAAAAATATTGGGTGGCATTTTTGGCGGTTTTTCAATGAGGGATTTGATTTTTGACCGAATTCTGTAAACTTCTTCACACCAATCTCTCGAATTCAAAAGCACTTTCATTTCCTTTTGAATCAAATATCGAAGGTGTGCAGCCGCAGCGACGTGTTGAGAAGTTCTTTCGAATTGCATGTGCGCACTCTGACAGATTCTATCGATGTCTGCCATGAATTCTGAAGAGGACCGATACATATTTTGAATAATGCGATTTTCGATAACAGTCAAGTCTAAAGCGGTTGTTGGATCGAGAGGTGTATTAAATATTCTGGAAATTGGATGTCTTTGAACCCTTCTAAGTACTGTCAGAAGCAACTTATTTGCTTCATTCATGAATTATGTGATTATTATACGGTTGAGGTAAAATTATTGGCGAATTTTTATCATCAGAAAAAAAGTAAACTTACTCTTCTTGAAAAGTTGGGAAGGTCTCAAATAAGACCGTTTTTTGAATTCAAAACGATGATTTTTTGAGTGGAGTGAAATAATTCATGAATTTCACTACATTTTGTTTATTTCCCAGATTATGAAATAATTGAGTCTTTCAAGGCTACTAGACTGTGTTTAAATCACATAAAATGATCATTGAAAATACATTAGTCTGTTTAGGGTAAATAGTTTTGTATCTCATATGTGATGTAATATCTACATTTTTTTGTCAAATGATTTTTTTCTTCATGCATAAATATTTCTTTGTTGTACCTCAAATTATCTGATAGATCAGATCAAAGAATAATTGTTTGGTTTCCTTTTTGAATTTTACAGAAACACAATATTAGAAAGAATAAAACATTTTTTAGATACAAATCACGTACTATTGCCAGAATAACGACTTATTGAGGAATGATTCGATAATGATATTGAAATGATAATCAAAAAAATGCAAAGACATTCATGATTTACATCAATAGGAATGCTTTATGAATATTTCAGGAACAATTATAATTAAAAATGAAATAAACCGGGAAAATGAGAAATTGAAAATCTTGAAAAAACAAATTTTTCAGAAATGTTTCCCATTATTCATTTCTTATTTATAGTATCTGGCAATCAAAAATATTTCTTTTTAAGATGGATTTAGTAAGATATGTGTGGAATTATTTCCATAGCGATTGATCGTTTTTCACAGAAAAATCTGAAATTTATTTTTCCTTCTCAATTTATTTCACTATGCATTTAATTTAACATTTAGCTTATATCTTTGATTTTCTATATATTCCATGATTATAAACATCTATTTAGTATAAATATCAATGAATAAATACATAGAAACACTATTTTTACGATTAATACGAAATATATCTTGAAAAAATTGTAGATATTGATATGTACATTTGAATTATCTTTGAAAGATCCTGAATATTTTTTGAATAATTATTATCTTTTGATAACGTACAAAACGCATTTGAATTATTATTTGTTCAGTATAAACTTTTTAAATATCAAAAGGATAGAATCTCTGAAATATCATGTTCAAATTGTGAAGATAAATTTTATATTGAAATTGAAGTTCTCGCAAAAAGTTAAATAAAAATTATTAATTCAATAACATCTCTGAAATGTAAAGAAAGTGAGGAAAATCAAAGAAATCAAGGAAATCGTCATCACATAAATTAAATTGAGACAAATTCGAAAAAACACAATTTCTCTCAAATCCATTTTATCTCAATCCATCTTGAGGCGAGCCGAAGTGAATTTAAACTTACTGCTTCATAAGGTTTTGCTGAAATCTCAGCGAAACCTTATTGAAGCAGCCCAAGAGGCAACTCCTTACCGAACTTTAAAATTTATGTCATCATTAACAATTATTCGAATTCAAATTGCGAGACTTTACGAGCTTTTTGTGACGCACAGAAAAATTCTGGAATCTACAAAAAGGTTCCAAAAAAGCGGCTTCAAAGAAATCAATTTTTCGATGAATGAAGATTCGATCCAAAAGTTTTACTCTCAAAATCCGCTGACCAAATTGAAGTTCAAATCTAACATAAACAATGAATTTCTCAATTTTGAAAGAAATTCGTCTGCCAATCGCACAAAAAAATATTATCATCGATATCATTCCGAAATTGAACGTTTCATGACACATAAATTCAATAGGAGTAATACTTTTTACAAGTACCATGATTATTTTGATTTTATTAGTCAAACTCCAAAAAGGATTAAAAAAATAATTAAAAATAATAACGTTTTCATTTTTTTCGCCGAAACGTACTCATTTGGAATCAAAGTTATCAAAAATGTGAAAAGGAGACTTGTATTGACATCATTTCGAATTAAATGGCCAAAAATTCAAATTGATTCAAAAAAATTAAGCACAAATTTGATGTTACTCTCAAAATATATTCAAACTGTTTTAGACTCGCCTCTAAATGCGAATAATCAAGAAAAAAATATCAATGAAATTCTTGAACATCATGACAAAATAATTGAAAAAGTGAATAACATCATTTTTTCGTATTATTTACTAGGTCAATTTATTCAATCACTAGTAGCTTTAAATTCCTATAAAAATGATTTTCATTTTAAGTTAGTCCCTTATAAAAATGATCTACACCAAATTCAAATATTTATGAATAAATATTACAAAATGAATTATTTCACAATATATTTAAAACGTGAAATGATAATTATCACATCACCGAAAACGATCAAATCAATACCGCCTTCATGGGTTGAAGTCTATCGTCCTTACGCTGATCCAGTTAATGTGAAGTCAAAAACAAATCATTTTCATTTAATTTTTTTTACCGATTTCGCTGAAATAGATTTTCCAAAAGTGTTAACGGAAATGAAAAAAATTATCACTTTTATGAAATTTCAATATGTTTGGTATTTATTTAAATATTCAATTTATGAAGAAATACCACCATTATATTCATTAACAATGAAATTCAATAATGAATATTCAAGTATTGGAAAAATAGAACTAACTTTTAAAGAAAAATATTTATTAACTATTCAATTAGATAGATTTACTGGGAAAGCAATCATTAGTTCCCCTTCAGTATTAAAAATCAATTCAAAAAGTATAATAAAATCTATAGAATCACAATATTTTAATTTATGGGCATCAATTGGTTCAATAATAACTAAATGCTCACATTATGTTTGTTTACAGTCTCATTTTTCAGGATTTAGTGGTTCTAATTACTTATATAATAATTTACAGCTGAATGCCTTACGAAATTTCCAACCATCTTTTTGTCCTGACTATTCTATTGCTGTCCACTTTTCTCGACTTAGACCTCTTTTTGCATTGGTTGAGAATAAAACTGGTAAATTGATTCAAGCAACAAGTTTACATGACCAATCACGATGTGGTGATAAAATTCATGAATATGGAATGAGATTATTTAGAGATATTTTAATTTCAGGTGCTTTGTATCAAATTAAGAATAATTTAAAAAAAATTGGTATTATTCCAACCGTTTTATTCAACCGATTATATTTTGTTACACCAAATGTTGGTACAGTTTCCATAAAATTATATAGAAATAAATCATGGACATTAACATTTCCTTTTGCACTTTCACCTGAATCAGGAACAGCTATTTTGAAACTTCATTCTTCACAAATGGCGTCATCTTTCACTGGATCATTAGTAGAATTTATATATAAATTCATTTCTTTCCAAGATGCAATTTTAGATATGATTCGATGTATCAAACTTAAAAATTACTTCAAAAGTAGTGCAGTATTTCATGATTTAGATATATTGTTCACCTTACCTGATGCTGAATCGCATGAAATAAAAATGGGATGTTATGGATATGAAGCATTATCTTCATTAATTGATGGAAAATATCATATGTATTGTAATGATATTCATATGCCACAGTTTGTTGCTGCATTTCTAAGGAAGACTCCTGTGCAAAGACTTCTTGTGCAAATTCCAATGGATCCTGAATCATCTTCCAGTGTTTTTCCATTTTTAATGCGTGCAACAACAATCCTTCTTCCCTTTGTGAATTTATTTTCCGGGAAAGATTGGTCTATTTATCCACAGAATGAACACCAATTTTTCTTGGTGTTCAAAAAGAAAATTACTTTTAATATTGCTTTATTGAATAATAATCAAATTGTTTTGGTGATTTCAAAATCAAATATAAATCACTTTATTATCCCATTATCTGTATTTTTAACTGAACATGACGTTATTAAAAATAATGAAGCATGTTTTTGCTTCCAGAAACTGACAAGCGAGGATATTAAAAAACTCGTAAAACTTTTTGAAAATTTTGCTGATGGTTTGAAACAAATGAAACAAATGAAAATGGAAATTGAATATTTAGATAATAAATGCTATGGAAAATGCCAAGTGAATGATATAAAACTAACTGCGATGTTGACTGCAAATGGAAATTTGAGTTTTCAAGTTCATGGTGAAAGTGATTCTGCAATTAATTTGAGGGAAATGGTTTTGGTTAAAAAATCACGTGAAATTACTGAAATTGTTTGTAGTATGAATAATTATATTGCTTAATTATAGTTTGCGGATTGTCATGCATGATAACTAATAATTCATTTCAATCTTATATTATTGTTTTGTTTTTTAAAAAATATATTAATATTAATATTCAATTTGATAGTCTTTCAATAGTTTTATATGTTTAGTGAGTCAATTTATTATTGCATTTTGTGATAGGTGGAAAGGATTTTCAGATAATTATCAAAAATAATGTATGGTGTGTGAAGATTTTTCCATGTAATAGAATGTTTTTTCATTGAATTTGAAGAAGAATTAGAATCAAAAATAATGTCTATTTCAAGTTAAAACTGCTAGATTAGAAAGGGATTTCTGGAAAACGAAAAAAGAAAAAGAAAAAGTGCGTAATCCGGGAATCGAACCCGGTTCCCAAGCTTGGGAAGCTCATAGGCTAACCATTACCCCAATTACGCAGGTTAACAAATTACTTTAAAATATACTTTTAATAATAAAAGCATCACTAATTGTGTTGTTCAAAGGTCAAAAATAAGGTCAATACCCTTTTTCATGGGAGGAAATCGCCCCAGAAACCATACCCAAGCCAGATACGTCACTGTTGTAGATCGAAGAAACGGAGTTATTAATTATTATGCCTTAGATCAATTTGGAACCCTTATTCAAATCAACGGAGTTCCAAGGCTCGATTTTACATTTCGATTAAACCTTTCAAACCAAGCGAACAATTTGACCGAATCAGACAATGCTTCCAATGAATCGCAAGAAAGCAGCCCTACTGAAACCGAACCCGAAACAACTCCAGATGCAACCCAGCCAGAAAAAGAATTCGTCGAATTTCATTTCTATGACGAATTTATCTTTGAAGATGCATTCAAAAACTATGACGATATCTGGTCGTCGCTGTAACTTATTTCCTTATTTGATTTTTCCCATCTTTATTATTTGATCTTAAAAATATGGTTTTGAAACAAATTATTTGTTATGTATCAACTAAAAATGATTTCCTTGGTAATTTCCTGATATTTCCATTATTTTATCCTTCGATTTTTGCTTGTTATTTTAAACGTGATTATTATTTTAAATATTGAATTGATTAAACAGATAAAAACAATTTATAATGATCATATATTTTTATACAAAATGAAACTGATTTATATTTAGATGTATCTTGAACATATATAAGAATGAAATAAGCATAATTAAATTGCATCATTTCTCTAATCTGTTTTAACTTTTCCGGATTTTTCGTCTTTGAGTTTTTCTTTTCCTTCTCCACTTTCTTCTTCTTCTTCCTCCTTTTCCTTTTCTTCTTTTTCATTCTTTTCTTCCAGTTGAGATTTTTCAATGAAACCAAATTCATTCACCCTTGAGGGATCAACTGGATAAATGAAGCATTGGATGATCCAAATGAAGAAAACCACGTCATCTCTAAAGCAAGCAATTTTATAAATTAATGGTAAATTAGACAAAAACGTATAAAGATCATCAATGAAAGTAGAAATAAACTTATATCCAAAAGCACTTCTACTCATTCCTGCAACAGTTTTCAGTTTATAATTAATATACAGTTGAGGAAGCATTGTTAAGAAATCGAATGCATAAATTGCACCTGTTGCACAATGAATTATGTAAGACTTAACACTTGTATACTCAACATAAAAGAATTGATAAAGAGAATAAATAAGAACTAATGGAATTAAAACAAAAATAAAATATTTGGTACCTGTTGCATCAGCATCGTCTGTATTTCCACGATAGCTTTTTCTTATTTTAATGAATGGAAAACGACGGGATAATTTAATTAATTTGAAGATTTTCCATAGATTAATCACAATACTAAAATTTTGTATAATTTTTTTCAGTAATGGAATATTAGTATACTCAATTAAACATAAAAACTCGATAACCTGACTAATCAATTGAATAACGATGGTTCTTAAAGAAACGCCAACTAAAGATTCTTTCTTCGCCCAAAATTCAATATCTTTTTCAAATGCAAGCATTTGGAAGAAAGTATGAAGAATTGTAGCAATTCCAGTTGTCCAGAGAAGCAAATAATTAGCTTCAATAAAAATACTCTTGATTATATTCACTTCATGTGTTAAAAAATCAAAATTAAATAATGATTCACTCAATGCTAAAGATGTAGACAAAAGGATTTTGAAACTCCAAATAAAATCACCTCTCATATTGAATTCAACAGAAATTGAAAAATTGTCATTGGTTAGATTAATTCCACGTCTTTCTGATTTAATTTCGAAGAATTTATCTTCTAGAAGTGGAGGACGAAAAATGTTTTTTCTTGAATTAAAAGCTATTTTACCTTGAATGAAAGGCGAAACACAATTCCGATTGTAAATTTGTTCAGCAACCAAATCAAAACGAACAGTCTTGTATCGAAATGGTGCTGGTGTTTGTGAAGGCTCAGGTGTAGGAGTTGGCTCAGACTTAACAGAATTTGCTAAAATATGACTTTTCTTTGGTGATGGAATATACCATTTCACTATTTGTGAATATTCAGAAGCAGAAAAGCATTGATCTGATGGACAATCATTTTGTTTGACAACAATAAAGAGAAAAACATTAGATTTATTTAAACGAACTTCAGGTGTAATTGGAATCGAAAAACTATCCTTTATCACGTATTTCTTCTTTGCATATGGAACACTTTCATTTCTATAAAGTAAAACTTGTTTTTGAAGAGTCTGATGTGGATTTTTGCCATATGCTGCATATAATGACACATCAAGAGTATCACCAAATTTAACCATATTCACTGCATCGTATTGTTTGTCACGTGTAAGCCATACAAATGCTGGAGCTAAAACCCATGAAAATAATCCCAAAAAGAATACTATGTAAAACAAATACGATGGTTTAAATAATCTGAAAAGAATCATTGGAAATGTAAGAGACCGTTTAATGGCAAAAATGGTCAACTAAATATACACATAAAAACGAGACCAAATATTCGCACAAAATATATGTTCTTTGTTCAATTGAGTGAATATCGAGAAAATGACAAATAATAAATAAGAGATATAAACTATATATACAATTTATTAAAGAACAAATCTGAATCATTCGAGAACTATTTTTAATTATCGTCAAAAACATTGAAATCATACTTTTGTACAAAGTTGCATTTTTTGACAGAATTAATTAAAATCTCGAATAATTTTGTATTACTTTGGATGTTATCATTTTCATTTGGTTGTCTAGCCATTGTTTGATGCAAAATTTCTGCATCTTCTTTTGGAATGTCTGGACTATTCACAAAATCAGTCAACTGTTCAATTAATTGTTGATTTTCTTGGAATAAATCGCGATTTTCAATTAACGATAAAGCTGCTTGGAATTTCACTGTATATGAAGTGTCATTCATTAGTCGATTGAATAATGGTTCGATGTAATTTTTATCTTTCGAAAAGCCAAGCAAATAAGCAGAAGATGCACGAATATCTGGTCTTTCATTTTCAAGAAGTGGAATGAATTTTAAGCCAAAAAATGGCAAATTCATCAATCGACCAGCCCTTTCTATCAAACTTCCAAGTAATAAACCAGAAAATGGTGCGCAATCAACAGCATGGTCAATACAGAGTTGTGTCAATCGATTAAACAATACTAATGTTGAAGTTGCAACTGTGCAGCAAAGACATAGAATTCCAGCTTTTAAGATTTCTGGATCTTTTGAAGCAGAAAAAGTTATTGATGAATTTTGATCAAATGGAGATGTTTTGCCAGTTGCAATCATTTTTGCTAAACAAATTAACACAGTTGAACAAGGATGTGTCATATCCGCTATACATAGCGGTAAAGGTGATAAAGAAAACGATTCAGCTGCACCTGGAGTTTTATCTAAATATTCAAGAAGTTTTTGTGCTGTCATTAAATGAAAATCTTGAGTTTTTAAGAAAAATGTGAAAATTGGATAAAACGATCGATTTGGATAACGATTAAATGAATCAATAAACAACTTAAAAATAGTATTCGAGCATTCTTCAAGCTCCATTGTAATACCACAGTCTAAAGCAATATCCCAAAAGCTCCAAAGAGGATGGTTATCCATACTTTCCAATGCTGGCAAAGCAACTGGATGAATATTATATGAAAGCATTACGCGTTGAGCCAAAACAAAACCACGTGCAAGTGCAGCTACACTTGGATCACGTGAATAAAGTTGATAAAGTTCAAATTTTTGAGTATCATATAAAATTGCTGATAAAATTGCATGGAAAAACTGCTTCAGAAAAAGTAAACTTTCATCCGTTGGCATAAGTGGATCATTATAAATTTTATTATGTCTTCGCATATGCCATTTCAATGCAATGTTAAACGGTGAAAGTAAACAGGAAGAAAAAAGATCCATTTCTGCGTCAGTTGATAATGGCAAAAATTCATCAACATCGCATGAGAAAAATGCGAAAATGTCAGGATGTGTTTGGAGATGCTTCTTTAAAATCGCTGCTTTTGAGCATTCAAAAATCATTGAAAGTGGACATGAAATATTATTCAACATTGTGGCAATTCTCATCGGTTTGTATCGAGAATGATCTTCAGAAAAGAAATATAATGTTCCATCGTCAGGTATATGTGAACCTTGTCCATAATAGTGAACCAATAATCTTTGAGGTGGCATCGACGTTCCCGACCTGCGAAGTTGCTGGAGAACAGTTTGGACTGATGGATCGACCGTTATTTCGCATGGACAATTGAGTGTTTCTTTGTAAACTTCTGTTAATGCGGTTATTGAGGATGGAGCGAAACAGGATGGGTCAAAAGTGACTAGCGGCTTTTGACAAACTGTTCTTGCTTTTCTGACCAGACGACGAATTGATGGCGTGCGGAGGCCATCAAATAAACATAAAAAACATAAAGCATATTTGGTTTTATTGGCTGACTGTTGTAAATTTGAACCGTTTTGTGGTTTTGATATTACGATTGGAGCACGCATATTTCTCCTCGAATTTGCAGCTGCTGGTTTATTATACATGAAAGAAGAGGATTTGTTGAAAATATTTCAATATATGACTTCTGAAAAAGTTGGGATAAATAAACTCATTAAAAAGTTTTGGCTACTTGAAATAAAAAAAATATTTGAGTTAACACTTTCAATTTGTTTGATTGAACCGTCATCAAATGTCCATTCAACAGTATGATAAAAGCACTTGTTTGTTTATGTTTTTATTCATAGGATCATTGATATCTTATCATTTCTATGAATGTACAAATAGTAAACATCGATATAAAGAAATGTTAAATATAGAGAAATATAAATGGATAAAAATGATAATGTAATAATATATTTCTATTTTATATTGGTTCAATACAAGGAAGAAATTCAAACATATTAGTATACATGGCTGTTGATGGAATTTTCTGTAAAAGAAGATTCATTGTTGGAGGATAGGCAATTTGCCTCTTTTCTGATCCAGGTCTGACAGTAAGCCATGAA